GGCTCTGCCATGAAGGTAATTTTAACTTTTCTACTATATAGGAAGAAATCATTGCTTCACCCTCCATTTTCTACTCTTTTGTCGTAGACAGCGGGTGGCTTTCTTCTGGGACTTTGGAGGGGCAATAAACTGTGGCTTAGGGAGGTTAGCAGAAAGTACACAGCAATGGGGAAATCTTAAAACAGGAAGTAACAGGATGTTATTGGCGAAAGCAGTTGAAAATGTGTTGAGTGGAGAAAGGCAGCTATAGACACACCCATGCCATGGAGGTACTGAGTTCCCTGAGGCTCAGAGCCCAGCCTTCCCAAACAAGAAGGTCTCCTCTGACATTCTAGCCCCATGGAGATGGATTTGGTCTAGGGCTGAGATAACATGGTCAGAATCGGGTCTTAGGTGACTCAGAGACTGGTAGAGAGTAGTAGGTGGATCTTATCTGAGTGTTAGATGGGGCGAGGAAGAGAACTGGGCAGAACATTACAATTCTTAGAATTCCACTGCTTCAAAATAGGTAGATCTTAGAGGCCTTAGGTAATTACAACTATAAACCCCATGTTTATCTTACCTGCCATTCACTGGATTCACTATACATTTCATTTGACAGCTGTCATTGGATTTCAAAATGGAAATTAGAGGCATATTTCCAGTGTTATTTATGGCCATACCAGATCAACAAGTAAATGAGAGTATAGAGAGATTTAGAATTAAAGGTTCACATTCTAGTTGAATAATATGTCACTTTTAAGCATAAAATGAGAAATTATAAGAAAGATCTTTAAAATGAATAGGTGAATATTACATTTAAATGTACTCCAAGCACTTCCTTTCACCCTAAATTCCATATGTCTTTTTTTGCTGTATAGACAATTCCCAAGGGAGTGGGTCATTGATCAACTACCTCCTTGAGCAATTGTGTAATTTTGGCAGCTGCGTCTGCTAGCCATATTTCCTGAGGATTCCTCAGAGCCAAAAGTATCTGCCAAGAGGAGTCAAAATGCTGCTGACAACCAGGAATTGGATTTGTTGCAAATGGAGTTGCTCCAGCCCTCTGAATTTGCCAACTCCATTGTTGGAGGACTGTGATAAATGGTTGAGTGCATCTGCCCTTGTGAGCTGACACAGATCCAAGCAGCTTAAAATATGACAAGAAGCCAGGCTTCTCTGGCTAAGTCTTGGACAGTGTGTATCAGTCTACAATTGAACCCTAGAAACAAGAAAATATATATAAAGAGGCATTGTCCAGGGATTTCTTTCATTCAAGGCAGAAATAACAGCCCTTGCATTTGATTGGCCTGGATGTGATCTGTGGAACTAGTAGGGAACAGTGCTGCAATTGTATTTCAGCGCATGGAGTGAGATTTCCAGGAATATTGTATCCTTAAAATTAACGTGCTTAAAGAATCCACTTGAGGCTTTTTGATGATAGTCATTGCATCATTGTCGTTTGAGGACTTTTCTTCTTGCTTGCTTCTTTTTTTTTCCTTGCTCTCATTTGGCAATGGGTCATTTAAGGGAGAAAACTCTAAACTTTCAGCTATTAAAAGAGAACAAAATTTGTGGTCGGAGCTTTAAAATGCTCAGGGAAAGAAACCACACATGTAATATGTATATTTTTTATAACAAGCGAAAAAAACCCACAAAGAATCACCCATAATCCCAATGTGTGGCTATAAGCACTGTTAAGCGTGGTTCTAACCTACCATTTTCCTTTCTTTTCTCCTTATTTTTCTGTTTTCTTTTTCTTATATACAGATATATATACAATTGTCTGCTTGTGTGTGTGTGTATGTATATATGTGTGCTTGTGTATTTATGTGTATATGTGTATGTGTTTGTGTGCATGTGTGTGTATTTATACGTATGTGTGTGTCAAGGTCACCAAAGATTTCCATATCACTAACCTGGTGGTCAGTTCTTAGTCCTCATCGTACATGACCTGTCAGCGGCAATTGACATAAATGACCACTCTCCTTGAAATACGTTGTTTACCTGGATCCCAAGACCACATATTCTCAAGATTTTTCCTTCTGCATCATTGGTCTTTCTTTCTTATCTCCTTTGCTGGTTCTTCTTCCCAAAGCTCGGTCCTTGGAATTCTCTTGGACCCACTCTCTTGGGAATCTTTTCCAGTTCCATGGTTCTAAACACCACCTACCTGCCAAGAACTCCAAAACGTACATCTCCCACAATAACTCTCATCTGAACATAAGGCTCTTATATCTGTCAACCTCCATCTCTCCACTTGGAAGTCTAGTAAGCATCTCAAACATGTCCAAAACAGAACTCCTGAATCCTAGCAAACCATTCTTTACTTCCAACAAAACTTCTTACTATCTCATTATATAGTACTCCAAACTTCCAGTTGCTCAGGCTAAAATTTTGGTGCCATCCATGATTCCTCTTTTCTTTTCCACCCCATGTCTAATCCATTAGCTAGCCTTCAAAATACACCCAGACTCCAACCACTTTTCTCTGTATCCTCCACGAGCACACTGGTCTGAAGCATCAAGAACTTCTCCTAAGACAGTCTCCCTGCCTTTGCCTTTGTCCTCCCCAAGACTGAGGGATCCTTCCAAAACTAAAGTCAGGTCACACCACTCTTCCTCTCAAAACGTTCCAATGGCTTCCCATGTCACCTAGACCAAAAACTAAAGTCCTTACATGGCCTACTAACATTCTGTGTGCCTTACTTTTTAAACTTAAATATAGGAGGCAGCATAGTGGTGGTTAAGAGCATGTGCTCAGGGTCAAATTGCCTGTGTTTAAAGCGTGGCTCTAATTATTAGCTGTGTAACATTGGGCAAGTTACTTAACCTCTTGGTGGCTAAATTTCCTTATTTATAAAATTGGATCATTATAATACCACCTCATGTGGTAAAGATTAATGAATTAATATTTACAACATGCTTACAATAGTTCTGGCATATAGTAAACATTATAAAATGACAATAAATTGTCATGATAAAAAGCAACAAAATAGGCATTTTGTGCTATTAGCACAAGACCTCATCATAAATTCTGCACGTAAAAAAACATGTCTCCAATGGTCCCACCTGTAAGAATTTATAGATACTCTAAACATCTCTCAAAAAGGAGGATGAAGATGTTTTGGTTAAACAAATTTAAAATGAACCATCATTATTTTATTCATTTTCATTATTCTGAGCTCAGAGTTAGAATGGACTATACACCATGATTTATACTTTTAAATATTTTAGTACTTTTTTAAGCATCCTGATGCTGAGCTGCTTAATTATTCACCTACATCCTAACCGGTAATACTTCAATTCCTAAAATAGGTATGACTTTTTTCAGTTTACCATGTAGTTTGATTTACAAAGTTTACTTTACTTTTATGCTCTACTTATGGATTAGCACATTAAAATGGAACAATTTGATCTAAACTAATATAATAGACAAAAGCTTAAGGTATATTCTTACATACACCTATATGGGCACAGTAGGGAGACTAGGGAGGCCATGTGAAATTTCCGGTAGAGAGTCATAAAATTAATGGAGTTTGAAGTGGAAAAAATACCACAGACTTAATTTTGAATGTGGCTTTAATCATTGTTTAAATCATCTGTAGAGGCAAATGAGGGAAATGACCACCAGCCAGAGCCTGACTATCATAGCTCGGTTCTTATATCCATTTTACAGGTTCCTTTTTATACTTGACTGTAACTGAAGAATAAAGAATACCTCCAAATCAGCCCCCAACACACACATACACACACACAATGCAATACAACATATAGCCACACCCTTCAGAAATTGCTTTATGATCCACAGAGGAGAAAGGGCCTTGTACCCACAATTAAATTGCTGGATATTTATTCCAAAGAACTGAAAACACAAATGTGTTAAAATACATGTACTCCTATGTTCACTGCAGCATGATTCACAATAGCCAAGACTTGGAAACAAACTAAATGCCCATCAACAGATGAATGGATAAAGAAGATGTGGTATACGTACACAGTGGACTACTACTCAGCTATAAAAAAATGATGAAATATTGCCATTTCTGACAACATGGATGGACCTCGAGGGTATTATGCTAAGTGAAATAAGTCAGAGGGAGAAAGTCAAATACCTTATGATTTCACTCATAACTAGAAGATAAAAACAGCAACAACAGACACATAGATACAGAGATTAATTGGTGGTTACCAGAGGGAAAGGGGGAGGGAGGTGGGCGAAACAGGTGATAGGGCACGTGTGTGCAGTGATGGACAGTCTTTTGTCTTTGGGTGGTAAACATAATGTAGCCTACCCAGAAATTGAAATATAATGACGTATGCCTGAAATTTGTATAATGTTATAAACTAATGCTACCTTAATAAAAAAAAAGAAATAATAGAAAGTAAAAAAAAATTTCTACAGATTATCTGAAGTAGAAAGACCTATTTGAAAAGAAGTCAAACATATATTTGAATACAAGAGAAGTCACAGTATTTGCTCAGAAAAAACAAAGGGAGTTAGGATTTGTGGAAGATTTGTGAAGGGGTCATAATGTTTATTCAAAAGTATATATTAGAATTTTTTTTCAATAGTTGAGTTTAACTTTGAGAATATGTGGTGGGAAGTTTTGTTAATTCTGGAAAATTCTTCCAGTTCTAAATGGAATTTTGGTGTAAATTGTTCCTGTTGCTGGAACTCTTAAAGACCTCTGCATGTTGGGGTGGACTACTGATGAGCTCACAGGTAAAAATAAACTTCACTTATTTGCCAACAGTAAAATGTCTCAGACTCAACAACTGCACAGCTGCTGAGAATTCCTTTGAGGATGTGAGAAGAGAAACAATACTATTGTGCCTGCGTGTTAGAAACAAGAGACAACTTTTCATGAAAACTTGCCTAGTCAAATCCACATTAGCGTGAAACATTATTTAACAGTATTTGCTCGTATAAAGGATGTACAAATAAATAGTGCCCTGATAAAATATCATTGTAATTCTTGTCAAATAACACTTTTTCTCACTTCTTTTTAATTTTAAAAGAAAATTGGCCCTGAAACACCATCCAGACAAGAATCCAGATGATCCAGCTGCTGCTGAGAAGTTTAAAGAAATCAACAACGCCCACACAATACTTACCGATCTGTCAAAGAGAAATATATATGACAAATACGGATCTCTGGGACTCTATGTGGCTGAGCAATTTGGAGACGAAAATGTTAATACCTACTTTATGCTGTCAAGCTGGTGGGCAAAGGTGAATTATGTTTTTTTCCTTCAAAAACAATTTTCTGGAGGATCATGATGTTATTCACTCTTTTAGAATCGATCTCAAAGAAAGCCTAAGGTTACTATATTATTAAACTCTTATAAATAAAAGGAGGTATCTTTGACTGAAAGCTGTTATTTGAGGATTGTTTTTGCTTTAGATCATCAAATAATTATAAAATACAACATAACTTAAAATGCTTTTAGACATTAATTATATTTGAATTTGAAGCTTCAGGTTAATTCTGACTTCCCTCCCTTCCCTCATAATGACTAATTAAGAACTGACTCATTGCTCAAAACCAAAAATAATTTATTAGTGTGACAACTGTTTAATAAATTATTATGGGACAAATTTAGCCATGTACTTTACTATCTATAGCATAGGTACATTAGCAAACACAATACCTGGGAGAATGGTAATTATGTCACAGGCTCACGTGGAGCCTGCTGTGAGGTAGAAGAGAAGGAAATGAAGGGGAAAGGTGAGAATTAAGTAGCGGAGGACAGGGAGTTGGAGAGACAGAGGAAGAGAGAGGACAAAAAAGATATCTGGTCAAGAAAAAGGCAACATTTTTAAGGACTTAGTGCAATCAGAATTGACTTTTGACAGTACATTTTGTGCAGATTCCTAGGAATCCCTAGTATATGTATGTTTGCTGATGGCTTTATATTTGTTTATGAGTTTTAATAGTCATATCTTCTGATAAAAGTATATTTCCATATGAACCATACCTATAGTCCACATATGAGTTGTACTTAATAATTTAAAAAACTGCAAATCTCCAAAGAGGAGGTTTCATATTCAGTAGTATTCTGATTGCTATTTCTTTCACTAAAATAAATTCTGCTAAATTGAAGTTTTATATATGCAGGAGGAGAGAGAATATGTTTTTGTAATAAGCATGGACAGACAGAGTTTGCAACCTAAAGCCTCATTTGCCTTCTGCAGTTCCTGGAATTCCTTTTCTTGGGGATAACTGAGATTCCCACTGAACCCTCCTTTCTTTACTGTTGAAGACTTGGGAGGGAGATAAGTTCCTGCCAAGCAGATTTGGAACTTGGGATGAGAGTGTACACACTGACGATGCCATTTATGATGATAGATGGAACATTCATATAACAATATGGGCTTTTGTGGGCTTGCCTGGGAACCTAAGCTCCAGGCGGGACAGTCTTTCCATGGGAAGGTACATTTGGAGTTCTAGATAACTTACACACTAGCACTTGATTGCATATTGGAGCCTGCTTGCATAAAAAAGAGAATAGGTTTCCCTGCCCAGGAAGTTGACAAAATTGATCGAAATTTATATAGACAAGCAGAAGCTGTCCGGTAGTATAAGAAATATATAAAATAATTCCTGATGTGGCTCTTTGAAAATAAGGCTACAAAAAATCTATCTTCCCTTCCACTTGTGCCTAAGCCTAATTACACGGTGCCCATTAGATGGGCGCACAGTGATCATGTATTAAGTAGCATTGCATGAATGAATCAGCGTACCAATGAAAATGTGTTTAAAAACTATTGGACAGTTACATGTGCCTGGTACTGTGCTGCTAAGCATTGTACGAGATAAGGTTACTTCTGCAATAGGCTAACAATCTAGTTGGAATAATTAAAGAACAAAACAGTATATGAATTAAAGGAAATTTTCACAGAGTAATATGGGAATTGCATAGTAAAAACAAAAAGGGCAAAAGTCGGTAAAGAAAGGAGGAGCTTGTTGGGGCACTGGCTCAGGAATACTGCCCAGGAGGGTCTTGGAGGCAGGTGGTGAGGAGGAGGGTGTCGCAGTTTTGTTTTCAGAGTAATTTACCAAAGCCTATGAAAATGCAGAGTATCCATAACAAAAAGATATAGGTGTGAAGTGTGAGTGAAGCTCCCTCACTCCAAGCCACCACAGGCTCCACCCCACCACTGGGGCCAGAGTCAGACAGATGGAGTCCCGGGCCAGGAAGCGGGAATGGGGCAGGTGACGTTCATCAACATTAAAGGTTTCTGCCCTAAGTTACTGAAGACCTGCAGACACCCGTGGTGATCTTTATCCTCTTTGCTCCCTTTATTAGATGAAATCTGCATTCTAATTCAAAGATGTATAAACCACTTCCTTTCTATTTCAAATAACATATTTTTAATAAAATCATAAATTTATTTTGCTCAGTTAACAAAAACTGGCTTATTTTAACTTCAAAGTTGGGGGTTGGGAGAGTTTCTTTTCATCTTTAGCTATGGCAAACTTAGCAAACCTTTTATAAGCTCGTGATGAAATCCCGGTGCTGTTCACCAGGAGAAACAAATCATTTGTTTATCTATTAATTACTTTATACATTCATTAATTCAGTAGGTATTTATCAAGTGTCTGCCGCATGCCATGTACTAAACCCTTAGATAGGAGGGATTAAAAGATTCCTGACACATAGTTCTAACCGTCAAGAAGCTCAAGAGACAGACCTGTAAACCAATCAATGTCCTAAAGTATCAACAAAAAGAGCACCAAGGTAGACATTTGTATGGAGTACAACTGGGGCACAAAGGAGGGAGTAATCATTCCAGGGGGCGATCAGGAAAGCTGTCAAAGAGAGAGGAGCTTTGAGATGAATCCTAAACACGGAGTGGGTATTTGATAGATGACCAGGGAATGGTAGGGGGACGTCCAGGTAGGGAGAGCGAAGCTATGGCAGGTATGGCAGGAACAGGGCCATGCTGGTGGCAAGGAGGGGTTGGCAGAGACTGGATGACCTCTAATAAGGAGCTCTGGCCTTTTCTTTTTTTCTTTTCTTTTCTTTTTTTTTTGAGGAAGATTACCCTTGAGCTAATATCTTCTGCCAATCCTCCTCTTTTTGCTGAGGAAGACTGGCCCTGAGCTAACATCCATGCCCATCCTCCTCTACTTTATATGTGGGACGTCTACCACAGCATGGCTTGCCAAGCGGTGCCATGTCTGCCCGCAGGATTCGAACTGGTGAACCCCGGGCCGCCGAAGCAGAACGTGAGAACTTAACTGCTGCGCCACTGGGCAGCCCCTCTGGCCCTTTCTAAGAGGCAGGAGTGTGGCTGCCTGGGCTCAAGAGAACACATATTTCAGAAAGCTCCAGCAGCAACGTGCAGAGTGGATTAGGAGGCAAGAACGGAGGTAGGAAGTTCAGTTAGGAGGCTGCTGAAGTGTCCAGAGTAGTGATGAGGGGATCTCTTCTAAAGCCTTACCTGTCAGGATGGAGAAGAGGGGGAGCGTGCAAGAGATCTTGAGGAGAGAGACTCTGCAGGACTTGGCGACTAAGAGGAAGGTGGGCAGGGCGGGGAGAGGTAGAGGGAGCTACGAATAGCTCTTCTTTGGTGAGAATGATTCGGTTCCCTTGCGTAGCTCATTTGACTTGTAGAGGTTATGTTCGTTTGTTGTTTTGTTTGCTCTACTCTTAATAATGATCATTATAGCTTAAGAATAAAGAAGAAAATGTCATACTTTGTTATTTTGGCTACAAGTCATTTCTTCCTGGCTTAACTTGTTAGGCAAACTTTATGAGGAATTTGTTTCCAAGGAAGCTAAAAAGATATTTCTTGCACAGCACAAGGAAGAGGGTGAGTATGTGCTCTTTGGGGTGAACTGCGATGTCTTCCGGTCTCCGGAGGTACATGGTGCACACAATTTCTGGAGTTCTCCCACACCCCACCCCCTCTCACCCCTATTTTTCTTTGCCTCTGTTTCCCCTAGACCCTGTTTGTTATCATTGGCCTCTTGACTGGCTGCTATTTTTGCTGCTGTCTGTGTTGCTGTTGCAACTGCTGTTGTGGACGCTGCCGGCCCAAATCATCTGTGCCAGAAGAGGATTTCTATGTGTCTCCAGAGGATCTTGAGGAGCAGATCAAGACTGACATGGAAAAAGGTGGAGTAAGATGAGAGCAGAGGTAGTGGGCGTCCTTTCACAGGCCTGAACAAGCACCAGGTCTCATGGTGATGGTTATAACTAAAATGAGAGAGATCCAAAAAGCAAAAGGGGGAAATCCCAGAGACTGTCAGCTTTGATACCTCTTTTGGAGAGGATTAAAGGACAACTACCTTTACCAGCCACAGAGAAAAGCAGAACCTGACACCAAATTAGAAAGAGATCATGAAATATGCTGGTAACAAAGCAAGGATAGTATAATTCACAGTCTCATTACAAGAGAGTGAACTCTGGGTTCAAGGAGGTTCAGGTGAGAATGCCCAGGGATAGGAGAACTAAGGTAAAAATTTCTTCTAGGTAAAGCATTTCAGCCTGTTACTTTAGGATTTCTCCTCAAATAGAAGGGAATGGACACCAAGAAAAGTCAACAATCCCTGACTTTTCTATTTTTTGATAATTTGGTAATGAGTTTTGGTTAGAAGTGGGAGAAGGTAGTCTTTCTTCCCTGGAAATGTAGCTTCCTTCCATATCCATGCATTCAGAGCTAGCCTCAAACCAGCATCAAGCATATTGTCTTCGGGCCGGCCCTGTGGCCAAGTGGTTAAATTTCCTCATGTTCCACTTCAGTGGCCCATGTTCGCAGGTTCAAATCCCAAGTGCAGACATACTCCACTCACCAGCCGTGCTGTGGAGGCATCCCACATACAAAAAATGGAGGAAGATTGGCACAGATGTCAGCTCAGGGTTAATCTTCCTCACCAAAAAAAAAAAGAATATTGTCTTATGTAAATGGGAGTATTTGCTTTGCTAAGCCACCTCCACACATCTATCTATGTGTGTGCATGGCCATAATACATTACTTGAGTCTTCAAGTTCATTCTACTCAGAAATGATAAAAGAAAAATGTTAAAAAGATGAAATCTCATAGAATTCACAACACCAGGAATACTTCATGTTCTCTGGGAAATGCCTTCGTTTAAACAAGCTGGAGTCAAACCAGCCATTGTTCTCTCTAGTCCTACTGCCATTTTCCCCTGTAGAATGCATCATTATTCTGAATTACAGACTTTATCACTAGATCACAAAGAACTCTGGACAGCCAAATAAAAGAATTACTTGGTAATTCAGAGAGTGGCCCATTGTTGTCAGAACTGCTGGAATTAGGACCGGTGCACTTTTCTGGACTGTACCATACTCTCATTCTTTTGGTCACAATGAAACAGAAATTCCATGAGATCAAGCACAGAGACTGTCTAAAGGCTTCTACACACCTTTTATTTCCTATCAAATGTGATGCTAAGTAATATCATCATTAACCACTCTGACTCCAGCTTGAAGGAAGAAGTCTGCGATCATGTGAATTGTACTTAGTCTCAGACCATTTTAGGATTGGGAGGTTAAAGAGGACGGAAGGGATTTTTCCTGCAACCTGGGACTCCTTCCTGTGGGGACACTGGGTGGCCAGTCTGGCAAACAGACGGGTTGCTCTTACAAATTTTTATTACTGTCCCTGGAGCCAAATTGGGGGCCCATGGTGAAATACAATTACAATTTTCTTTTGCCTTATTTGGGATATAAAAGGACAAATTAATCTTTTAATGGGGGCATACATACCAAAAAGAGCAAGCAAGCAGTATTATTCATAAATGGATTAAATGGACATATATATATATATATATACACACACACACACATATATATGTAAATTCCTCTTCAGGGATGGGCCAGTGACCTTGACATAACTTGCTTAGGAATGATGATCCCAGTGCATTAATCCCATCTGCTCTTGTGAGGAAGATAAATTCTTATACGATCATGTCAGGGTCAGTGGCCCCATTGTCCATAGGATCACCTATAACATCCATCAATCCAGTCCAGTACCCAGTCACTGACAGAGGATAGGAAGGGACAGTGAGATAGAAGAGTATTGTCATCATCATCCACTGTGTCAACGTTATCTTAGCTTTTCCTTTACAGTGCAGAAACCAAAACTAGGTGAATTGAACCTAGCTACCCCAAATCCAGTGCTTCACACTTCTCTGAAAAGCCTCAAAGTCTTTCCTGTTTTAAATTAGATAAAAGCTCCACCAGGTCATTCCAACAGACCTGCTTTGCAGATTTCTTTTCTGGAATAGAAATTCATACTTGATGCCAAATTCCGCCCAGGCTTCCTACCTGCAGGGTGACTGGTGATAAATCTAAGTGCCTCTCACTGTTAGTTCTGACACTCCAGAGCTTCCAATTCCATTGCAGAGGTCAGATTCTAGACTAAGTCAGTCATGATCCCATTTGACTGTGTTGCTATGAATCCTTAACCAAAAGGAAAGTTTTATCCTATTCCTAAATATTTAAAAGCTCCTCTGCAGAGTTGATCCAGGTTTTGTAGGGCCTGAAAATTATACAATTAAACGATAAGAAAAAGAATACAAAATTACAAGTTAGGTCTGAAAGTGTATGTTTATTTAGAATGTGAAAAAGAAATCACAACAAAGTGCAAAGCTTCAAAACTGACAAATACTGTAAATATCACAAAATCTAGAAAAAGAGCAATAATTTAATTGACTGCCTGGCACACCTTTCTAATACTTCGCTCCTATGCTTTCTGGTTGCATGTTCTTTGATTGCCTCTTCATTTAACAGTAATTTTGTAATGTCATTCTGTGTAGGAAGGATAGAAAAATAATTCTGTCTTTCCTCTAGCATGTTTGATCAAAATTTGTTTTTTATTATCGGTAGATTAGAAAAGTTTCTTTGGGTTTTATGACTCATTATTGATAATGTTGTCTAAATTTTTAGGAATTGTTGTCAAATTTGCGAAAACTCCTATATAGTTTATTTCATATATAAGATATAAGATTTGGAAGAATTTTCCACAGACCCCTTTTTGACTCTGCACATTTCAAACCTTGTTGCCCCTACATCACCCAGTACTTCTAAGATCAGAGCCCACTGGACACACTCATATAGTGTGATACCACCTCTGGCATGGATCTTCATGTTCCCTCAGCAAGCGAATTGTCATAGTGAGCTATAAGAGTATTCCTAAAGCCATTCCTATGCCAGTACAGCTAGCAGTAATCAACTATACACAGAGTTCCCGCAAACCACAAAAACATATCCCACTAAATTCAAATGAAATCTATCCCCAACTCATTTCTCTGTAACTGAATCCCCAAAATGTCCATAGCCCCTCTGTTGCCACTCATCAAGAAAAGCATGATGGAGGGAATGTCAAAGTGGAAAGAGACAGTGTTTTGCTGATTACGGTTAAAATATCGTACTCTTGCAAATCAACAAAAATTTGAACACATTGCTAGGGCCCCAACAGACCCTCAAGGGTCTGAGCAGATAAAGATCCGTGAAACTTAAATTCTGTTAACTGTGCAGTAAATCCACCACTGCTCTTCGATCTAACATTTTATTATGAGAATTTATGCCTTATTTTCAGCTAGGTGCATCAGTTAGTTTCATATTTTTACTCCACTAATTCAGGGACTTAATGTGGTTTACAGGGAAAACTAATGTAGGTTAAAGCTTGTAAGGAGGAAAAAGCAGATTACATGTGAAGACTATGCTTTCTGGATTGTGATCCAATAAGTGGACTGTGGCTTCCTCTGTTCTCCAAAAGAAGGGGACCCACTTAAAGTTGTTTAGAAAATACACTTGAAAGGGGCTACGAGTCACTCAAGTATCAAGTTACTCACGACAAATGATAAGCAGCATACATCAAGATTTGAATCCATTAGCAGGTACTGGTGAGATTTTGGGCTTAGAGAATTTTATTTCAGTGATTCTGAAATTAAATAAAATATGGCAAACATTTTCTCACTGAGGAGATTTTTAATTATCTTATGCTGCATCTAATCCTAAAATCCTAGGATTTTAGAGTTGGAAGGAATCCGAAGGGTCAACCTTCATTTGCCGTATTTTTATGGGCCTATTTATGGACTCTCTCTTCTGTACCACTAATCTGTGTGTCTATGCCTTCACCAATAATACACTGTCTTGCTTTCTGCAGCTTTAAAGTAAGTCTTAAAATCAGCTAGTGTGATTCTTTTTCAAAACTGTTTTGGCTATTCTAGTTTCTTTGCCTTTCCTTATAAATTTTAGTATCAGTTTGTCTAAATCTACAGAAAAATACTGCTGTTTTTTTTTTTAATTAGAATTGCATTCAATTTGTAGATCAGTTTGTAGATCACTTTTACTATGTTGAACTTTCCAATTCTCCAACATGGTACGTGTCTCCAGTTATTTAGGTCTCATTTGATTTCTTTTACAAGTATTTTGTAATTTTCAGCATACAGAGCTGTTCCATGTTTTGTTAGATGGATATCTAAGTATTTCATCTTGCGGGGAGCTATTGTAAATAGCACTGGTTTTTAATTTGGTTTCCAATTGTTCATCACAAGTATTTACAACTATTTTTGTGTTGACTTTGCATCCTGTGTTCTTGTTAAGCTCAATTATTAATTCGTATTTTTGTGTAGGTGTGAATTCCTTGGGATTTTTTATGTAGACAATCACGTCATCTACAAGTACAATCTTATTTCTTCCATTCCAATCCGTATGCCTTTTATTTTATTTTATTTTTTCTTACCTAATAAGCACTGGCTAGGATTTCTACCATTTGGTTTATTGCTCTGCTATCATCACCTTGAAAATCTTAGCTTTTAAATCAGGTATACTACATTTTCATTTGAATACTACACCGATTTGAATTCAGTGACTAAACACCTCAAATTTCATTTTTAAGGACATGTTATAGGACATTGTAGATATTTCTTAATTTATCAAAATCCAAATATCAAATCCTTTTTTTAACCAACTGACTTATAAAAAGCCATTAGAAATGTTTTTTCATCTGCTTTGAGATAGTTTAATAATTCTAGTTTTATGTCTAAAGCTTATGATTTTTCTTGGATATTTTTTGTTAGGTGCATATTTCAAACATGCCTACTCTTTGACACTAAAGTCTGAGATACCTTTTGATACTGTAACAT